AGTAGCCAATGAGTTTTCTTTTTTTAGGTATCATTATGAATTCTTACATTTAAACATCTCCGAGATGTTTCAAGCTATCAAAGCTCAAACTGTACCCTTTAGTTAGGGGACACATCTTCTGATGGCTCCTGAGTCCTTTTGACATGGTCCCTATAGAACATGACAGTATCCTTTTGTTCTGAATTGACCAGATGTTCCAGGCTTATCTTGTTCATTTCCTGTCCCTGACCTGTACTTGCCTACTTCTCCAGGGAACTCTGGATCCTTTTAATGAGAAATGATATTTAGATACCATAATCTCAGTATAAGAGTGCTCATTGCTACTGGTTTCATCATTGTTTCTAGGCCTTTAAAGTGGATATAACTAGGAGCTACACATATTTAGATAAAATACATTTAGAAATTTTTATTTCTTACTAATATTACCAATTCAAATTCAGATTCACAGGATTTTTACTTAACACTCCCTCCATTTTACATCTATTTATTTTTTATCTCACGTCAAAAATTCCAGTTTTCAGTGTCTCCAATATTATTGCACAGTGACTTCATCCAACAATCCACACAGTTGCAAAATAACAATACTAATAAAACAATCAACAATAGTAGTTGAAGAGATTTTTTGTAGTTATTTTTGTCCTTAGGGCATATCTCACTAGATATGTACAAATTACTGTGTTGAAATAATCTCTCTCTGTGTGGTTGTGCCACCAACTCATTATACCATTAGTTTCTGAAGTCTTGGAACATAGATAATCATATTTCCTGACATGGAAGAGAATTAACTTTATTAATTAACAGATTAAAATTTGGATGAAATAAAAACAAAGCATTAAATTAGAACTAACTGCATTTATGAAGAGCATGTTAGTAATATAAGTTACTAAGAGAAGATGATTACTTCTCTAATATAAAACCTATATTTCTAACATATTTGTATCTATTATGTCACTTAACAGTGATGAGCTCTCAAAAGTATCGTGTTGAGTGATGGGTGTTATTCAGCAACAGGTGACCAGATTAAAATATGTATCTACTCAGTTCTTTGTATTGTTAGAAAACACTTGGAAAGTTCTACACATTTTTTTAGATCTGTTAATTTACTTAAAACTGTGGAAGAAAATGTGTTTTATCTCACATGCCAACTTTGATAGACTGCTATTGGCTGCCGGGAACTCTGTGTTGAGAAAGAGCCTGAGGCTTAAACTAAGGTTATCTGAACCGGTCCACAATCGAGTCACTAGGATGTTAGCACCATGATGGAAAGGGTTTTTGTTTGTTTGCTTTATTGTTCTGGTCTCAGTTTATTGCTCCAGTACTTAGAATAGTGCCTGGCACATAGGAGTCTCATGAAATATTTTTAGTATAAATGAATAGACTGATTAGTGTTGTCTGCCATGGGTGTTCATTGAGGATCCACATGCTGTATATTTATTTAGAGTATTACTTTTATTTAATAATTCATTTATTTATTTATCTATCTATCCATTTATTATATATAGAGAGAACACTTAATGTTAGCTATTGTGACTGTTTAACTGTCTATCATTAATAAATTCAAATCTAAACATATTATCTATTCTTTTTCTTATTACAAGGAAAAATTACAAACCTCTTCGGGAAGGGCACAATTGACCCTTCTTCTGTGATGGTCCTGGTGAATGCCATATATTTCAAAGGACAATGGCAAAATAAATTTCAGGAAAGAGAGACTATTAAAACACCTTTCCAGCTAAGTAAAGTACGTACTTCATTTTCAGAATGATGATAAATTTTGGAGACTATAATAATTGTTTAAGGACATGATAGAAAGTTTAGTGAAAATATTGGTCTAGATTTCTGTAGATTGCTTTGTGTATTCTATGGGTTTTATTTTCATTTCTCCTTATGAAGTAACATTAACCTCTCTCACAGGGCATCTAAGGGGAGCCCTTGAACCCTGGGGTGCCCTGGGAGGAAAAAAAACTGCTCTTTTCCGACTGCTCTCCTATCTGTGTGTCCTTCCCACGTACACTGCAGTGATCTGCTCTAGCGGCACAGTGCAACCTTCTCTTATTTTTCTCCTAAAAAGTCTCTAATTAAATTAAGAAAGGAATGATCCCATGATATCATTTTTCCATATAACTCATTTTCTTGGGAAACCTTGGCTTTGTTTTGGGGAAACATATATATTATTGTTTTTCTTACTATATACATAATTCAGACTATTCAGTCTCTACCAAGGACTTAGTTTGAAATAAAAAGGTCCTAACCTTTGTGAAGGAAAGTGATAAGGGTGTATTTTGTAGTTTATATTTTACCCACATGTTTAGAGTCTTAATTCAGATATTTGTTAGGCAAGCAAATCAGGACCCATGCACATATGTGACTACCGTCTAATTATAATCTTAAAAACACGCAGGCGAAGAGCGTGATCGTGGAAATGATGCAGCAGACGGGAACGTTTAAACTGGCCTTCATAAAGGAGCCGCAGATGCAGGTGCTGGAGCTGCCCTACGTGAACCACAGACTGAGCATGATCATCCTGCTTCCCGTGGGCACGGCTAGTCTAGAGCAGGTAACCTCACAGGGACGCCGGCATGTGTGTGTCCCACGAGGTCAGCACAGCCAGTCACTCACTCAGTCACACTGAGCTTGGCGGCATTGCCCCAGGGACTGTGAGAGAAAAAGGGGAGCTCTTTTGGTCCCTGCCTTCAGGATAATGTATTTAGGGAAGACAATTCATTTTTATATTTGAAAAGGCACCTGGTGGCAAAAGGACCATGCTGTATGAACACAGGTACATGTCGATCATTTGACACTTGGGAAACATCTTTGTAAGGAAATGATAATGCTGGTTGGGCTCTCAGGCCAGGGATAGTGAATGAAGCCACCTTCCTCTCTGGAGCAGTACTTCTGATCCAAAAGTCACATGTTTTTGTGGGCTACCCATCATTTTTAGCCTCCTGGTTTTGTGGGGAAATGAGAGCCCCAGCCACTGAGAAGAGGTCAGGGTGGTGGCAGGAGTTTGGGTCTAAAAAAACCCCCTCTTCCTGGCTGCCATCAAAGCTGCCTGGCACAGAGCAGGCAGGACACTGCTGTGGGGTGGCCACAGCTCCTCCCAGCCTTGCTGGGGCCACCCAGTGCTCTGCCAGCATGATAGTTGCCTAGGAGGCCGGCTGAGCTTCTGCGCTTTTGTAGAAACTGAAATACACGCTGGATGCTGTTCTAACCAGAGCAAAGCACCAGGCAGCGGGATGGCTTCGCATCATGAAGTCGTGGTAACTTGGATCAGGGCAGAAAAAGACAAAAGGAAAATAGAGGAAGCGAAACCACTGATCTGATATTGTCAGGGTCCCGAGTAGATAACAAAAAAATCTTCAACCTCTGCAGTAGAAAAAAGATGGTGCCTGAGGTGCTGGTTTGGAGCTGGAGCGGGGAGGGGGAGACTGTAGAGAGTTTCAAATGCCCAAGGACAAAGTTTGAAGAGTCCACAAAAACTTCTGGAACCGGGTGGAGAGTGAGAAGTTGGGGTTGGAGGCTGCTTTGGGAAACCTGAGCAGGGATGTGGGAGTTGATTTGCTAGGTGGAGGCATTCGGAATTCAGCTTCAAGAGTGGGGCCAGGAGGGGATTAAAGCAGAGTGGAACAGGGGGGCCCGGCGTCATAAAAGCCAAATGATGAATGAGTTCATAGCAGAGGTTGCTACTGAACGTTTCAGATATGAGAACCAAGAAGAACTGGTTGAGTTCACCCAGAAAACGAGAAGACAATCGCAGAAGCATTGGAGAGTTTAGGTGAAGCCTACACGCAGGGAATGGATTAAGACAAAGATGGTAGAATGCACAATGACTAGGCAATAGAAAACGGAAGACATGGATGAATGCAAGATCCCCACCCCCCCCGGATAAAACCTGAGCACAGTTTAAAAGTAGAAAAGAAGTGAGTGGAATTGAAACAGTCACACTGAGAATTGTAAAACCAACAGCAATTAATGCAGAGGTGTGTGCTGGGCTCGTGCGGGCCCATCTGTGCTTTGTTTCTTAGGTAGAGAAGCAGCTGAACCTGAAGACGTTTCGCAAGTGGACCAGCTCCTCCAACATGAGGGAAAGAGACGTCGAGGTCCATTTGCCCCGATTCAAGCTGGAGATAAAGTATGAGCTGAACTCCCTGCTAAAATCCCTCGGGATGACAGATGTCTTCCACCAGATCAAAGCTGATCTGTCTGGAATATCACCAGCCAGGGGCCTGTATTTATCAAAGGTCATCCACAAGTCATATGTGGATGTCAACGAAGAGGGCACGGAGGCAGCAGTGGCCACTGGGGACAACCTCGTGGTCAAAAGACTCCCCATCCGAGCTCAGTTCATGGCGAACCACCCTTTCCTGTTCTTCATAAAGCACACTGGCACCAACACCATTCTCTTCTGTGGCAAGCTCGCCTCTCCCTCTCCCTCTCCCTAAGCACATGGGGTTGAACAAGGCCCAGGGTCACAGAGGAGGTGCAGGGATAAACCAGTGACTCAGAGCAGTTCACACCCCTCACACCTCTGTGCCTCGGTTTGCTTATCTGCAAAATGGGTCTAGGATCTCTTTCGACTTGTTCCATGAGTTGGTGAACCCTAAGATTGTGGTAACCATGGAAGAAGGCGTATTTACAAACAAAAAGCTTTCCTGGCTCTCTTATCTTTGAGGCCTCATTTGAAGACTGTCTGGGTGACATAATCAAGTCATGGAGGAAAATTTTAAGGAATTACATTTTCTTCACTTGTGTATGTCAGTGAGCTCTTGAATAAGTGACTGCCCCACCTCTAGAAAACCAACTGAAGGGCTTCCACTTTGGTTGAATTTTAAAATATTGTCATTTTCTTTGCATGTGTGAATATAACATCATGAATTTTAGTTCAAAATAATTCTGTATTGACTATACTAAATATACTAGATGCCTTAAGCTCTTTGGAGACATTTTAGTGGAATTTTTGGCCAAATTTCTGTCCGACCCTACGCTGAATAATAGACTCTCCTTTTATCTCCTTCCGTTGGTTCCATGTGTTACTTCTTTGTGTCAATAAAGAAAGCAGAGCTCACTGAGGCACCCAGCTCAGTGTAGCCGGATCCAAAATGACACGTATACCTCTAGCCAAACACCAAATTTGCTATCCCAGAGAGAACGACTAAAAGATTCTGGTCATTTCATTATTGATACCCTGGTTCATTTCATGAAGAAATATTTCTTGAGTTCCATGTTAAGCCATAAATATATACAGTGAATAGCCAAGAGTCTCTATCTTTGTCTTCATAAGCTAATATGTCAGCAGAGAAGGCAGACTTTAGAACAGTCATGGCAATGGGTGATGGCTGCTGTGAGAAGACTGCTATCAGCAAGAACAAGCCATGAGGACAGAGTGATGGGGGGGGGGCTCCTTTAAGTGGTGACCCCTGTAAGGCATTTCAGGAAGTGGGGGTTCTTTTCTGAGGAAAGTGACTTGATCAGATTTACATTCTAGAAAGATCACTTGGGCTTCCAAATGGACGTCTTTATGATGGGAAAGATGCATTAAGAACTCCATGAAATAAATCACAAAAGAGCATTTTCCATGTCAATAATCACTTCGGTAGGACTGGGGCAGTTTCGCAGTGGGGAGAAAACCCCTGTTCATGGTTTATTTTGGTTACACGTAGATAGCATCTTTGACAATTTAGGTGTAACAGTGAAAGGCGCCATTGGGATGCTTAATTGGGTGATGGAATTGTCCAGTAATATGAACATGAGTCAGAGTCACCCACAAGAGCTCTGATACATCCATGCCAAGAATTCCCTAGTCTGGTCCCCAAGCACCTTTCACCATCAATGTTGAAAAGATCCTTTGTTAAGACGTAATAAGGCTGTTGGCTGACATTTACCAGACTGGGATTTGGCAGGGTTTCCAAATTCTATATGCATTCTACAGACTTATTTTTTCAAATACTGCTTTCTGTTAATGAAATCTTTGTATGACTTTGTATACCCCGTGTCTCCCAGACTACATGAAACTAACAGTCTGTATTGGATCTCACTGGATATTATGGGTCCTTCAGAATCCCATGCCTCACTTCCCTAGCTCCCCAAATCTTGTCTGGGGTTCCCCACTTTCCTCCAACTCATGGTTGGCTCAGTATGGAACCTGCTCTCCTCTCTCTAGTGCCACAGAGCAGTGGTGAAGCCTGAGACTTCACCAACAGGTCCAGGAAGGTGCCACCCTCTATTGGTGCTGCATCTAGAACTGCATTGGGCTAAGACTCCCTGAGTTCCTGGAGCTCCTGTTCCTGCCCAAAGGGCCCAGGGATTTGGTGTGGGGAGGCATTTCAGTGCTAGGAGTGGAAGCTGGGATGGGAAGACTCTCCCCATCCATGGGTATCGGCTGCATCCCATCCCATAGTTCTCAAGCAGGTCTCCCGCCTTGTTCAAGGACAGAGAGGCTATTTGAACTGTCCCATGAAGGCTTTCTCTCTGGGACTCAGGCTCGAGCACACAGGTGGGCTGCTTGCACGGTTGCCCTTTGTCTCCGAACCTGAACCACCATTTTTGGGTCACAGATACTCTGAATTTCCTCCTGAGCACTAACTCTTTCCAGGATACTCCTTGGTTCCTCATGCAAATAGGCTCCAGTGGGCTTCCTCACCACCTCTTCAGACACCTCATAACCCCTGAATTCCTGCATGACTCCTCCTTGGTTTATTTTTCTCATTAGCACTTATTGCTCTCATTATATATTTTACTTATTTATTTTGTTTATGGAGAATCTCTACCCATTAGTATGTGAACTTGATGAGGTCAGGGTTTAAAAAAAATTTTTTTTTGTATGTTGTCCTAGTGCTAACAATGCCTGGAGCATAATAGATACTCAATAAATATCAGTTGGATGAATTAAGGAATTCATTCCTTTAATACTTCAATGTTTTGAGTGCCTGTTCTAGAGTTGGAAAATGAAGATCATTAGTCTAAATAAGACATGCTGGAGATCATGCAATGAACTTGACCAATGCAGAGCTCAGTTGACAATTCTAATAGGATTGCTACATAATTAAATTAAGATGTTCCCAGGCTGCACTGTGGAAAAATGTTTTATTTCGACATACATGGTCTCCCACATGCCTCAGATGGTTTAAGACACACCTTGTGTTGCGCTGGGTTCCCCAGAACATCTAAGCTACAGTTTAAGAGAGTCAATGACCACTGCAATCGGCTGACCCGTTACAACGATGGTCACAAGTGCAAGGGGAATTCCAGCCTGTCTGAGAGCAAGGTGTTGATAACTGGGAGCTGAGCTGTGGAGTGGCTGCTGGTTTGTTAGGACATCATTCAAATTAAGTAAAATTGTTAGGGTTAGTCAAGTGTTTCTGGCATCTCCAAAACAAAGCTTCATTGAGTTAAATAATGTAACTGATTTGGCCAGTTATTCAGCTAAATTTTATACAGCTTTTACACTCAAGTTACCACCTCTGTGTCAATCAGTGTGTCTTGAGCTCCTCCTAGTGGGTGAGAAAATAACATGAGATGCATACAAGATATGTCTGTGCTGTGATGAGAACTGTCATTTACTGAAGTATTACTACATGCCAGGAACCATTTTACCAATTTGATCCCCACAACTGTATGTGATGTCACCTGGTCACTTCAACTAAGACTTAGAGAATGTCAGTAACTTGCCTAACGCCGCACTGTTAGTTGTAGAGCCAAGATTTGAACCCAAATAGCTTGGCTTTAGAATCCATGTTTTAACCTCTGCGCTATTGCTATAATGCTACTCACTACATTTATGGACTTTGGAGAAGTTACAGTGGCAATTTAGAGACTTGGGTTCCAGCTCTGCTTTTGCCACAGCACCTCTTAAGATGGTGCGGTCCCTAAACATTTTGGGCTGACTCGCTGGTTTAGAGGCAGTAGATATATCGCTGCAGTTCCCCATCCTATCGCTAGATGGCAGGCTTGCTAGCAGGGGGACCAGAGGGTGTGGTCGACAGATGGTATGTAATTTGTAAATCTCACCTGGAATCTTGGTAAAATAGTTCACGGGCTAGTTAATCAAGCATTATAAATATTTATTAAATTTATGAGCATTAAATTTCTTTCACTTTGATTTTAACAGCTCCATTTTTCCTTTTTTTGTTGTTCAATGTATACAGTATTTGCAAAAGGAGTTTAAATCAGATAGTGGGGAATTTGGTTCATTCATGACTATGTTTAGAATAGTAGGAACTCAAAAATATTTGATAATTGCTTTACTTTCTTTCATGTTCTAAGCACCTAATTTTGAAAACTCTTTTTACTTTTAATAAATTTTGGTCTTACAGAAAAGTTGCAAACCTACTAAAATCTTCCTTTATATCTCACTCCATTTCTGGTAATGTTAACATCTTACATAATCATGATATAGATATCAAGAATAAAAAATTAACATTGATATAGTCTCATTAATTAAACTACAAACTTTTTTTGAATTTTACCCATTCCCCCCCCCCCC